TTGAAGTAAATAGGCTGTCCCAGACAAGATATTATCAATATATATGTATATATTTTATATATTTTATTTATTTAATACTCATCGCCTAGTCATCGCCTAGTCGACTAGTCGACTAGGCAGTTGGTGGCATCTCGCCTAGAAAGTCCACCTTGATAACTTTGTTCTGCTCTGTTTATTTTATTCCTAGATCACAAAATTTATTAGCTCATATTTTAGCTTCTCCGATTTCGGTTTACTTCTAAATATAACCACATTGATTGCTTTCAAAAAAGATTAGGAATTTTTTAGAGCATTTCAAGACTATCAGCACTACAAAATCTTTTTTTTTTTAATAATAAAATTCTTTGCAATAAAGATACATCACTAATAAAATGATCAACAATAATTACAACGTAACAATATTTTAACACTTATCACAAGTGGATTGATCTATTTTCCATTCCTTCTTTCCATAAATATCTTCAGCAGTATATTGCAACCTGTTAATATATAATCATTAATTTGCCTTTTTCTCCTATCAATTAGTTCAAGTAGGGAAGAAAAGTACCAAATTTCTCTCTACATGTCAAGAGCTTCATATGCGTACCTATAATGCAACTGAGATTCTTGTCCTTGCAAGAATTCAAACATGTCCGGTTTAAGCCTGTATCCTCCCGCGTTTTTCGGTTTGGGAATCACACTTCTGCATGCACGTACCACAAGATGTTAACGACAGATACATAATATATTATTAACATATTATGCTTGCAGTTAACATATTTTGTACCTACAGTTGAACAGTTTATGTGTCTATAGTTACCATTATATTTTATGTATCTGTAGTTAATATGAACAAAATATGTCAATTGTAAACACATAATTTGAAAGTTATTTTGAACTAAGGTCCATAATGCAAGATTGCGGGCCAATGAGTCTAATCTTAATACTTTTCTCGTCTCAACAAAAATGTCTAAATTAATAGTTGAACTGCACATTTATGTTTTATACCATACAAAAAATTGTACTGACCCATCATAGTACTTGGTCTCCAAATCTTTGTATTCGTCGTGGAGAGTCTGACGATTAGGAATTACAGTACTCTGGAAATGTAGTTATACAAAGAGATAAGAAAATAAAATAAATGGAAACATATTTATGTGTGTATGTATAAAAATGAATAAGTGATATCAAACCTGCTTGCTAACTAAAGCTGCAATTTGGCTTTCTATTGGACGACTGTAGAAGTAGTGCTCAGATTCTTGTTCAGAAATTTTCTGCACTGTTCCCTCTACTCTTACCTCTCTGTTTAAACCACTCCAGTAGAAAAGGAGTGCCACATGGGGGTTTTCTGATATATCCTCACCCTTTCTGCTTTCATAATTGGAGTTCCTGCATAGAAACTTAACTAACTGCAGTTTACAGAACCAAAAAACTGTGCATTAATGTCAAATCTCGTTTGTGTTTACTTCAATTCTCTGGTGGTTTTCGGTTCTTCAGTTTTCGAGTTGGGGAAATATATAAATAAATGCATTTTCTGTTTTTCGTTTCTCTAGAAAAATGTAAATTTTCTCTGGGTTTTGGTGTAGCTAGAAAAAGCAGGAAGTGAGTAATTACCAGACAAAGCCATCTCTGTCTACTGATCTCAGCAGCACCATTCTTGATGACCTTCAGTTAACAATGTGTGGTTTTTATAAAACCAATTCAAACATTAGTGAATGTCATTCAGTATATATATATAATATATAAACATAAATGTACATTCCAACTATCAGCTTAGACTTTTAGTTGAAATGGAATACATGATTCAATTTTTTGTATCAGAGCGAACTCATGCGTCACTCGGTAAAAACTAAAAAGAGACTATGGTACACGTATTACTTGAAGCCCGTCAAAAATAACTGACTGACACCACATGAGGAGGCGTGTTAGGCATATATAATATATAAACATGAATATATAATGCAACTATCTGTTTAGACTTTTAGTTGAGATGAAACGCAAGAAAAATATGGTGATCGAGAGGGAATGAAGAAGAGCTTATTTGGGAATGGCAAATTGGCATATATACATATAATCTTACGTCTTTCCATCTTTTGTCGCGGTTGACACAGCAACAGCAGTGGCTCTCTTCAAGCCTGCACTCATTGCATCTTCTAACCACTTTTGGAACTGCCAGGAATCGAAAAGAAGATCGAAACAATTCAACATGGGAACGAACTCTAGAATGAAAAAGACCAAATAATTTTACCTGATCAAAGGGATCAGCCTCAACATGCTGTTCAAAATACTCGTCTTTCAAGGATGATATGCCCATCAAAGCCTTTCCAATTCGAACACACGGTGAAGTGCCTGGAAAATCCGGTAACTGCAACTGAAATTTTTCCACAATGGCTGCTGGAATAAACCTGCCACCCAGAAAATGGTGTGGACCATGAAAGGTTTTGGCAGAGTTTCGGTGCAAACAAGGATACCTACATTATATTCAGAAGCTTAGAATGTAACATTCATTGAATTCATGAAATCTAAACGTAATAACGAGAGTTTGATGGCATCTCTGGTGCTTTCAATTCCATAACATAATTCGTTAAACAGATACTATGAATATGTTAGAATGTACTAAAACAACGGTAATAATGAGAGTAATGAAGCACCAGCATGTGAGGTTTAAGGCCTTTGCCAACCAGATCCCCTTCTTCAATGTGCCATCCAGACGGAATATCCACAGACACAATTACCGCCTTTTGATTACTACTTTGTAATGCCACCAACCTCTGTACCAGATCATCTAAAGGCAGGTTTGGGGCGCCTGGATGCATATTAACATTTCAAAATCTAGCAATTCAATTTGCGTTTCGAAGAATAAAACCAAAATAAGGGCGATACCGAGGAAAGAAAAGCCAAAGGTAGCATCAACCAGAATGTCATAACTCTCTAATATGTCCAAAGTTAGATCTTCCACGGATAGGAAAGGAACTGAGAGTGATTCAAGCTACAAAATGCATTGATGTGATGCATTAGAGATAGTGATATATTAAGCATTATGATATATGCTTGAGTTTAGTCCCACCCTTACCTGGGTGACCAGACTGTTGTAAAGAGGCTTTGGGTAAGAAATGGATATGTTGTAGCCAAAGTTATGTAAATGGCGAGCAGACACGAGACCCCCACGGCCATTGTTCCCCGAACCACAAATCACAAGGACACGATTGTGTTCACTTGATCGATAAGTCTGTAAAAAGTTACAAGCCGATGTCACTAGACTACAAAATGAAGTAAGCATCTTGCAATTAATATATAATGGCCCTGTTTGGTAAAATAGTTAGTCTATCAGCTAATTTTGGTTTATTTGACCACTATTAGCTCCAAAATGCTAAAATTCAAAAAGCTGTTCAAAGTAGCTTTTTCGATCAGCTTTTTAGAAAGTCATTTGGTATGTAATCAGCTAATAGCTAATTTACCAAAGACTTCTCTACAATCAACTAATGCTATCAACTAGTCAAACCCACTAACCCTTAGCTAACAGCCATTTACCAAACACTCCCAATATGTTGGCCATAAGTCGTTGAAGGGCCAAGTCCAGCACCAAATGACTAGAAGTAGAAGATTGTAAGGCGAAGGCTGAAAGGTCAAGTCCAAGACCCTGTCTCCTCTCAAAAACGTTGTAACCGTATAAGAAAATAAAGTTACACATTTGCTACAAGCTATAACCTTTGGTATACTAACAAGTGATATCAGAGTCTGGTCATGAGTTCAAGTAAGACTAGCAACTGCTTTTGGCATACAACATAGTGGTAAATGATTTATCCTAAACTAATATAATTCTGCTAAAGCACCAGATATGAAGATTAATCTATAATTAACTCATAAATAGTAGTTTAATTTCATGAACAAATTAAACAGGATTGTGTGAACACTACTACCTCTGCAATAGCAGTTGCAACACTTAGACCAGCCAATTCCTTCAAGAGAAATCCCAGAAAGCAATTAATAAGCATATATATCAGGCATCATATCAGACATACTTCAATGATATCAAAAGAGAGAAAAATATTACAAATATAATAATGAAAACACTAACCATGAGCTGATCAACACTAAACCCAAGAGGACCTCTAAGCAGCTCATCCAGTTCCGCAGCTTGTACCTGCGTTAGATAAGACATAATATCCCCACCATTCTGCTCAATAATGCTATCTACTTTACTCTCCATAACTCTCACTTCTCCACAAGATTTCCAATTCTTTCCCCAAACTAACAATTCAAGTCTAATTTGAATGTCCACCACCTACCCCACCAGAGACAGAAAATTATAAATATAATAATAAGTTGTAATTAGTTTTCTTAGGGGAAAAGATTTCATCTGAAGTTCATGTTCCAATGGGCCCTTATATGCTATACTATAGAATGCTAAAACTTGTAACTTCAGTTTTTTCACAATCATTATTGTATTGTGTGGACCATATTTTATATACGGTAAAATAATATATATTTAGTACAAAAATAATGTATTTTTAATATATTAAAAATGTACATTGTATTCAGGGAATATACATTATTTATGTACTGAGTGTACATTATATTGTATAATGTACATTCAATACAAAAATAATGCACATTTAGTATATTAAAAATATATTTTTTATTATGGTCCACATAACAATGTGTGGACCATGGTCCATACAATAATTTGCCATTTTTTCACACTTGGGCCTCCCCAACCTTTCATCCATCGCACAACCTTTGGCATCCCTAGTGGACTAGTGGTTGTTGGAGGGCAAATTATGTTGTGGACCCAGGTCTAAAACGACGTCGTTTTGTTTCCAAACGATGCCGTTTGAATTTAAAAAAAAAAAATTGCTTCCTTCTTTGTTGTTAACTTGTCGTTTGTCTTCAAAATTCGTTAATCTCTATTCACAATTTTTAAATTCTATATTCACAATTTTAGAACTGAAAATTCACAATATTAAATCTTAATATAACAACATTACAGAACTCTATATTCATAAAAAAGACAAAAAATAAAAAACATTAACTAAGAAAACGATAACACTTATTTCAGACGCGCATTTTGGACCTAGGTCCACCTTGTAAGGTGGACCCCTCTCCATGACATAACAATTGTTCTTGGAGTGGGACTATACCTTTTAATCAAGACAACTTCAAGCCCATTTCGACCTTTTTATCAAGACCTCTAGCCCATTAGGGATGTTAAAAGTTATAAGTAGATGTCACATGATTTATATTTTAATCACGTGGCTATAACGACCTTACAAGGCAATGGAGCAAATATGGAAAGTGGGAGGATAGGGTGGAAGACAACAGATGAAGTGGAGGGATGATATTTGAAAGCTGAAAGTCGAGGACCTCAACGACGTTGTTAGAAGAAGAACCGTTGAAGAGTCGTTATGACTTAAGGGAACGACGTCGTTTGGAAGGAGTCGTTGGAGACCGTTGAGCTAACCTTCAGACGACACCGTTTCGTCCTTCTTTCCCCAACTGCCTGGGCTGCGATCCCGGAACGGAAGGGGACTGTTATCCCTTTTTATTTTAATGGAATAAGGGTCAAATAGGCCATCGGACTGCACATGATAATACAATTAGGCCACTGAACTCAAAAAACCAACAATTGAGTCCCTAAACTAACAAATTCCTAACAATTCATCTAACTTGAAGGTTTCTAACAGGTCAACAACCAAATTAATTATTTTTTAAAAAATAAAATTTTAAAATTAATTATTAAAATTAAAATAATAATTAAAAAAATAAAAAAAACAGAAACGGCCGGAGACGAAGAAACTTCTTCGTCTCCGGCCAGTTTCTTCGTCTCCCCGGCCGGAGACGAAGAGTTTCTTCGTCTCCGGCCGTGGAGACGAAGAGTTTCTTTGTCTCCATGGCTGGAGACAAAGAAACTCTTCGTCTCCACGGCCGGAGACGAAGAAACTCTTCGTCTCCGGCCGGGGAGACGAAGAAACTGGCCGGAGACGAAGAAGTTTCTTCGTCTCCGGCGGTTTCTGTTTTTTTTTTTTTTAATTAATTAAATAATAAATTTTTAAATTTTATTTTTTAAAAAATAATTAAGTTGGGAGGATGACCTGTTAATCTGTTGGAAACTTACAAATTGAAAGATTTGTTTGAAATTGGTTAGTTTAGGGACTCGATTGTTGATTTTTTAGGTTCAGTGGCCTAATTACATTATCTTGTGCAGTTCGATGGCCTATTTGACCCTTATTCCTATTTTAATTAAACTTTAGATTTAATTTCCTTTTTTCAGCTTTAAATTCCCTGTAAACGGTTGAGGATGATTATGCAAAGTATTGGCACTTTTCCTTCTTCTTTCATCTTCCTTATCTCTCTCTACCCTAATTCTAACTCCCGAACCCCATTTTTCTACCTTCCAAACCCTAAGGGGTCGTTTGGTTCACGGAATGTCAGATTACCTTAGGGAATGTTAGATTGCTGGGAATGTTAGATTACTGGGAATGTTAGATTCCTGTGTTTGGTTAAAATTGGGGTATGTAATATAATCATGTTTGGTTTAGGGTTATCTTTTATACACACTATAATATCCTTAACATATTTTCATATATTTTAATAAATTTAAAAATTAAAATAAATAAATAAGATAACGGTATCATATATAATTACATGATTTTAAAATATTAACTAAAATCTTGAACTTGAGAAACAAAATTATTTTATATGCTAACATAATATAATAAAAATAAAATATATATATAATTACAAATATATATATATATATATATATATATATATATATATATATATATATATATATATATATACATACATATAAACTAACATAACCAAGGTTATCTTACATTACCTAAGATTTAATTTTGAAGGGAATCACATTCCCTTCAAAATCCTATGTGGAGGGAATGTGACATTCCTGGGGAATGTTAGATTCCCTAAGATAATATAAACCAAACACTGGAATGTGAGCTTTGGAATATCACATTCCCTTGGTTATGTTATATAACCTGAACCAAACGCCCCCTAAGAGCGTTGCAGTGGCTTTATTAATAATTTTCCTTTACGTTGTGTAACTGAGAATTCTACTGGTTGATAACACAAGCTAAGAATATGTGATACTAATAAAATTATATGAACAAATACTACAATGTAATACCAAATTGAAGCATGTGCTCCATCTCAACTAAAAGCCTAAGCTGATGGTTGGATATATATATATATATGCTCACATAGAGCTAGTAGCATTAAAAAAAAAAAAAAAAAAAAAACCTTTCATCTCAAGCTTCTGTCTCAGACTTTGTTTAGTGTCAGACCCTGTCTCAAACTTTTCTCAAATTACTTGTCTGACTCTTGTCACTTACGTGAAAAATTACGTCTACGGGATTAAAAGTTAAAACCAGACAAAGACAATGGTTTGCTTTAAAAAATCATATTAAATATCGCACAAATTACTATTAAAAACCGGATGGGATAAACAAAAACAACTATTAGGATGTATATACAAGTATACACTTGCACAATAACAATATTGGATGTTGATCACTTAACTTGGGTCATAAGACAAGTGGCCTTGCAAGTTACAACTAGCTAGATACGTGGCTTTTATTCTGACCAGTTAGTATAAAGTACACATTAGGGTCCGTTTGGAAAGCAGGAAAATGACTTCTGAAAAATATTTTTCTGAAAAATGAGTTATTTTCCAAAAAATATTTTCATTTCTCGTGTTTGGCTACAAAGCGGAAAACTGTTTTTTTTGTGTGTTTGGTTCATTTTATGGAAAATGGGATAGAATTATATAATTAAACAGTTTATATAATTAATTATTTTGTTTAAAATATAAAAATATTTATGTTTTTGAAATCAAATAATATTATTATCTATTAAAAAGTTATAAAATAAATTTTAAAAAAAATAAAAAGAAGAAGAAAGAGACGGCGGAAACCAGAGAGTAAGTAATGGTTTGCGACCGTGTTCTCTGGTTTCGGCCGAAATCAGATTTTAATATATTTATTGCTAACCAGCTTGAGGTGGGCTAGGGTCACATGAATTCTAGCATGCTGACCTTGCATGCCAACCCGCAAGAAATTAGGCACGTGGTGAGGCAGACCAGCTTGCTTTGACGGTACTAAGCAAAAAGGACCAGAGAACAAGGTCCCGACAAGGTGCAGACCCTAGAGGTCCGTTTCCTAAGTCTATCTACAGGACCAGGTGGGGTTGTTGAGCCTTGACCTAGTCTTAAGGGGTGTCTCGTTTTTTGAAAAGTTTGTTAGGGGCATTGACTTATATAATTTGTCTTGTCTTGTTTAGGACAATCATGTTCAATCATTACGCAATTTGTAATACTCAAAACGTTAATCTAAGAAATATCTCAAATCGATATTCTTGTCTTATTTTTCATTGTCTTTATTAACTTGTACCCCACCAACGGAATTCAACCTTGTAATCATCCATTTGGAAAGCTAACAAATGTGTCATCTCATTATGTATTAAAACCAATTTTTTTTTTGTAAAAGGTAAATGAACTGAGAATTTAAAAGGATAATGAAAGATGTAATTATGTAAACTCAAAATGAGGTGAACCTGTTTCCCCAAAAAAGAAAAAAAAAATGAGGTGAACCTTGAGAGTTGACACCTTGTGGTGAGGTGAACCTGTTTCCCCAAAAAAGAAAAAAAAAATGAGGTGAACCTTGAGAGTTGACACCTTCTGGTAGTATATATTGACACTATTTAATTATCTACTAAAGGACCGGACCCACTGGCACAGGACTATATTGCCACATGGACTAGCGTATTAATTAATTACTCCGTAATATTTCGCTGAGATCCACCCAGACAACTTGAAGCCACGTGCTGCATATTTGTCCACAAAAAATATAAAACGGAAAACTAATGAAAAATCCTGGGCCACTAAGGATGTGTTTGGTTGGATGAAAATCAAATTCCATGGAAAAGATTTTTCATGAAAGGTAGGAAAATGTTGTTTTATCTTGTTTGGTTGGATGGAAAATCTTTTCAATAAGAATTTGACTTCCTAAGGGGGAAAGAAAAGAAAATCTGATCTAAATATTGGTATTTTGTTTTTTGGCTGAATGGGGAAGAAAGTATATTAATATTGGACTATTTTACCCTCATCTAAATTTGTTAATTACACATGTATATATAGCTAAACCCTAGTATTCATTCTGGATTCTTCTCTCTTTTTCCCCTCCAGCCACATTTCACCGGTTTCTTCTTCAATCTTCCTCTTTCACAATTTTGAGATTGATTGCTCGTGGAGTTGGTCGTTCCAAACTAACTTTCATCTGTTAACCGCTCGCCATTTTCTTTCTCCTTTCTTCTTATTTTTTGTCGCTACTTTTCTTTCTTCTTTCTTTCTTACCTCTGCGCGTCAGTCTCCTCTATCAATAGCACAACTCAAGCACGGCAACACCTTCATTTGCATTGCAGGTAAGCTTATTTTACTAGCATCTTAATACTATACTTTGTTGTGTTGTATTTAAATTTTTTTTTTTTCAATTTGTGATTAGTATCTGCAAATGTTGGTGGTTTAGCACAGTTTTGTTTTCCTTTTTTGAATTTTTGCATTGCAATTTTCCTGTCAATTTTTTTTTTAGGTTATTGTATTTTTTTTTAATAATTTATGGTTTATTTTTTGGAATCCTAATGGGAGTGAATTTCTTTGGTCAGTAATCTCTGGACTCCGGTTTCTTTTCGCGGCCAGTAAAGAGTTTGGAGTGAATAATTTCACTGCCTGTTTTCTTCTTTTCTTTTTTTTTTTTTGGATAATTTTATTTTTTTTAAAAAAATAATTTATGCTTTATTTCTTGGAATTTATTTGCACTGCAATCCTAGTGAGAGTGAATTTCTTTGGTCTCTTTTGCTGATATGGTCCAGTGATAGTCTGAAAAACAAAAAAGCCACTCCATATAAGCTGAATGTTATCCCCTTGTTTGTTCTGTTATTTCATACTTGAATTCCATGCTACTGCTACATGTACATCTTTTGTTCCTAATATATGTCCATTACTGCCAGTACCTATTGAGTTTGTAGGAGTAAATCCAACTGTTGAGAGTGACTCGATAAATACAGTTGATCCATATTGGCGCATGGAATTAGCAAACCAAATGTTCAACGAATGTCAAGCTTCTAGATAATCTTAGGGTTGTAAATTATTTGATTTTCTTTTGGTATGTTGTTATTTTATGAGTCTGTTTTCCAATTTTATTTTATGTAAAACACAGGAAATAGAGAGGACGAAATGAGAGAAGTATGGCACGAAAAAAGCATACAAGTCATTTTCTTTGCCCCATATTATGAGTCCAGGTAATATAATAGTTGATGAAATATATCATTCTGAATCATTCCTATATGATTTTATATTTTTTTCCTGAATAAAAACCATGACAGATATTCAAGAACTCGACTATTTAATTCTTAATTTGAATTATCTTAATATTGAGTGAACCCGATTGACATATCAGCCATCTGATATTCATTGTTGGATTAGAATACTCTTATTTGTTCTGTGTAACCTTCCCAAGAAATAGGGGTACACAACCTTCCCAAGAAATAGGGGTACACAGTAGAAATGTTTAATAAATGGAAAATGATCAATTAGCACCTTAACCTTTTAAACGTGTAATTACATTCATCAATAATTCATTTTGATGGAATGTAATTTAAAAACTGATTAATGGCCTGCTATTGATTATTAGGGATCCGTCCACCCTCCGATAAAGTTTTAAGTAAAAAAGTGACCGGCAACCGACAAATGGTCTCCGATCACAAAGAAGAAGGTGACACGCCTTCTCAATCGCCTTTTTCGTGTTCGTCGATCTCCAGGCACTTTTTTATTTAACCCTTGACATGTGATAGCAATTAACTGATTTTTGGATTAGTTGCATCAAAATGAATTGTTGAAGTGTAATTGCACCTTTAAAAAATTAAAAGGACTAATTTTGACTTTTCAATAAAAATTCAAAATCTAGTTGACCCTTTTCCCTGATCATTTAAGAATCCATCCCCTTCGACGAAGGGCCTGAGAAATTTGTATTGCAACCTGAAAAAGTTTGTTATATAGTGGGGATCGGCGGAATAGGGACAAACTCCTAGATACAACTAAGATAAAAATCTAGAAAGAAAACACTCTTTATAAAAAAATCTATTTACAATTCAAATCCCAATTCCAAATTATGGTAATATGAATATTACAAATCTACAACCTCTATAACTATACAATGATGTACGTCATGGTATCACAATCTAAACACGAAAAAGAGGTTGATGGGATTTGCAAAAATGAAATAAGTGAGCAGGTTTTTTTTTTTTTTTTGTTTTTTTGTTTTGTGTTTTTTAGTGAGCCGGTTTTTCGTTTTTATCAAGATATTCTAAGACCTTAACTGATGCAAGCACAGCCGTCCATTGTATTTCTTCACCTACCCGCCTCTGCAGTCTGCATTATAACAGTACAAAAACTAAAGAAAAGATGAGATTCTTTCATCCAGCAAGTGTTAACACATATCCGGGAGAGGAATAATGATGTATCAGAGACAAGCACAACTATTTTGTGCATCTTTGTTCAAAATCTGGATACAAACCCATTATCTATGTCTAACTAAAAACTCCAAAATTACAATTGCTAACAGAGACACATCTGGCTATGGCAGATGTTTTAACATCTAAATAGAAAACAATAATAATTTGAAAATCTTTTTTATTTACTTAGAAACAAGTAGATTTGATCAAGCCAATGATCTTGTGGTCTAGTGGCATGAAGGGGAAAGTGGCTTTCCCATATGAGAGGTCATAGGTTCGTCCCTCAATAGGGCAATATTGACTCTTTGTGCTTCAGTAGTACATATGAAAAAAATACTGCATTGTAACAAAGTTAGTAGTACTAAAAAAAAAACATAGATTTGAGCAGAGTTAACATATCCCCTGCAGTGTACCATTATTTTGGGTTCTTATTAGGCCAACTTAAATGTGGCATAATTAGCCATTTGATATCATTCTTAGTTTAATGTACTCAGAAACCATCACACTTAACTAGTCAACTATTGTACCTCCACATCTCCTGATAAAAATATTAATGGGGATGGGGAAGGAATCAAAGCAGGAAGCTCTTTTCACTAGAAAATATTAAACTAGCTTTTGAACTCAGCTACTCCATCAAATTCTTCAAACACTGAATAAGCTGCATTAAGCTAAAATTTCTATTGAACTATTAACTATACATTTTAAAAATAAAAACTAAACATGAACCAAAAATAATTAATAAGACGATCTGTCACCTCAAATGACATGCCATTCTTCAGAACCATTAGCATTTCTCTCAAACTTAATTTGACAAACAAAAGGGTTGAAAAAAATTTAGAAAAATAGACAGTTCGGTGCACAAGTGATCAAGAATCATTGAAAACTCAAAACCCACCTCTAGTAAAGTGTGTGTATTGAAATATTTTGTGTTATTGGTTACAAGCCCTTAAAGCATACAGTCTCACAACATTGTCCTTTTAAAAATTGCCACATCACAAGTAAACCCAGTATGTTCTATCAGCCACAAATTGAACTAAATAAAAACTCCGAAAAAAATTAAGCCTTAATAAAAAATAAAAATAAATAAATAAGCATTTTAGAGAATAAGCAAAAGGATTATTACTTTTGAGAAATTTCCTCCATTTGCTCTGTTTCTTTTCTGTAGGCATTTGCACAGGAAATACTTTCACAGAAACAAAATGAGCTGGATTCCCACACGGGACATTTGTTGCCATTACCACATTCATAAGGGAATGACTTGCAACTAGCCATCTTTGCATTGGTCTGTGATATGAAAAAGAAAAAAAAAATCAATAATGGCACTCAACGACGGCGGTGGGAGAAGAAAGAAGCACCGATGACGACTCGCGGTGGCTGTGGGTCAGCTTTCTTCAAGTGAAACTGCAATTGAAATGAAATGAAATTATACTTGTGTTGAAATAAAACTGCAGTGCTTACAAAATAAAACTGAATAACAATTTTACATATTTGAGTGTATATTACCTAGCGAAATTGTAGTTATATCAAAATGATATTGTAGTTATGTTGAAATGAAACTGCAGTGTATACAAAATGAAACTGAATAACAATTTCACATATTTGAATGTGTATTGTGCCGTAAAGCTGTAGTTATATCGAAATGATCATGTAGTTGTGTTTTAATGAAATTATAATGTATATAAAATTAAATTAAATAACATTTTCACATATGTGAGTGTATAAATATCGAATGAAACTGTAGTTGTGTTGAACTGACACTGCAACGTATACAAAATGAAACTAAATAACAGAGTTATATTTTACGAAACAACACAAAAATGATACCATTTCTTTTATTAAACAAAAATAATTGATTATGCACCGCGGTGCACCATATAATTTGCCGCATAACTATTCGTAGATCTGCAGTTGTTATATTATAGACCGCGGTGCATAATCGATTATGCACCGCGGCCCATATACGGCGCCGTTTCTTTAAGTAAAGAAACGGCCCGCCGTTAGAGTTAACGGAGTCCGTTTGTTTGATGTATTAAACACCAACTGACACTACAGTATATCCAAACCGACACTGATACTGTAGTTATAGTGAAATGAAACTGCAGTGTATATAAACTGAAACTGAATAACATTTCACATATTTGAGTGTATATTGTACAATGAAACTGTAATTATATCAAAATGATCATGTAGTTGTGTTTTAATAAAACTATAGTGTATATAAAATAAAATTAAATAACATTTTCACATATTTGAGTCTATAAATATCGAATGAAACTATAGTTATATCGAAATGAAACTGTAGTTGTGTTCAACTGAAACTGCAGTGTATACAAAATGACACTGAATAACAGAGTTACTTTTTGCAAAAGGGTGCGAAACGGCGGAAATAAACACTGTTAATTTTCATTTAAAAAAAAAGACGCGCGGTGCATAATCAATTATGCACCGCGGTGCATAATATAATTTGCCGTAGATCTGGGTCACAGAATAATTTGTCCGTTACAAGCTAAGGCGTGAATTTGACTTTTAGCGTGGCCCAATGGTTGGTGATAGAAATGGTACATTTAAAAGAATAGTACTCCGTAATAATTCGGTTGTGTTTAAAATAATGGAATACAATATTAGAACAATTTTAAATACCGAATAAACAATAAATGCTGTCCGGCCTAATCTTAAGTTTTTTTAACTGGAGTTGTTCATCTGATTTGCTCCGTTGAAAATTTTGTTGAATTGAAGTTGTTCATCTGATCTGCTCCGTTGACTTTCGTCCTTTCCTCTGTTGGTGTAAACAAGTTTGTTCGATCTGCCTGAAAATTCATAGACTTCTTCGCCTAAGGTGGTTTGGCTTCAATTCACACAATCGCTCACGCTGCACCATTCTGGTATCACAGGTACGTAATCTTTAGCACAAGGTAGTCATGTCTTTGAAAACCGGCCGAACCATAATACTGATATTAATCCTTAATCGGGAAAATATGATAAGTCATGTACTCAGGAGGCCGGAGAGGATTCCCAGAAACAACAGTCCATCTAGAGGCCAAAGTATGAGTCGCCAAGTTTAAAGAGGGGTTGATCTGATATGAGTCAACCCAGCCTTTATATTTCATTTCGCCTGAATAGCTTCTTTTTTTTTTTTTTTTTTTTTTTGTATTTGTAGCTAGAGATTTTCTTAATTATATATCTATATAATTGTATTGCTTATGATGTGTTAATTATGTTTAAAGTAGATCAGATCAGATCAGATGAGAGGCAAGGAGATTGGCACACAAGCAACTACTACTGCCAGTTACGAAAAAAATGATGAGAGAATCCTTGATGGGGTTGACAAGTACGGGGCTAGATCACAATCAGAAACTTGTATGTGTAGAGTTCATGAACAATTACGTAAAGTAAACAAGAAAGCCTATTTACCAGAGGTTGCGGCAATCGGTCCTTATCATTCTCGTAATAAGGGTAGCTTGAAATGGATGGAGAAACAAAAGTTTCGCTACCTGTATTTGCTTCTTCAAAGCTCTCCAATTACATTAAATGAATATGTAGCAGCCATATCCGATCGAATTCCAATGCTGTTTGAATCCTATGATGACCCAGCAATGGACAAAGGACGCCTTGTGGAGATGGTTGTTCTAGACGGGTGCTTTATAGTACAACTAGTCCGCAAATTCAGTATGCCTGAATTGAGAGAGGAGAATGATCCCATCTTCAAGATGTACTGGGTATTGAGTAGTTTGCAGCGTGATCTGATGTTGTTTGAGAATCAAATCCCATTCCAAGTTCTGTGCGAGCTGTTTGACTTGATCGAGATCCCAAACCAGTATGACATGCTTATCTATCTGGTGTTCAAATTTTTCAGTAATTTATTCCCGGGGCAAGTGTACGGACAGAGGATTAACGAAATCTCATCATCAGCTCCAAGGATAAATCATCTCCTGGAATTGGTACACCAGATGTGGTTGACACCCGTAGGAACGTTACCATCACAATCACCATCACCACCTCCACCTCCACGCCCTATTCGGCGGCGCAGATTATTTTATTCTGCCACAGATCTCCAGGAGAACGGAGTAAGGTTCAGAAGAATGGAGAAAGCCGGCAGTCAACTCAACATAAAATTCAAAAACGGAGTGCTGTGGATCCCGCCGCTAACCGTGGAGGAGCGAACGGAGTCGTTCCTGAGGAACCTGATGGCGTTCGAGCAATACTACCCTACAAACCACAACTTAGTTACGGCCTACGTTAAGTTCCTAGATTTCCTCATCGACTCTCCCGGAGACGTGGAAGTGCTTACCAAGTACGGGGTTATCGATAACTGGTTGGGCGACAGCCGACAGGTGCACCGCATGTTTAAGAAGATCAACAGTTTCATTACCATCCACAGCACGGCTTACCACCCCTTTGCCCACCTCTACGACCAACTCAATGACCACTGTAGCAGAAGTGTGGGCGGCAAGATCGCCAGAATGAGACGAAGCCTTTTCCGCGGTTCGCTAGCGCTCGTCTGCCTCACCGCACTGTTAACGTTACTTCTCTCTGTCCTTGTTGTTACCACCACGCAAACTGTATACACTGCCCGCAAATGAGAACACCAGGCTTGCTGGCGGGTGAGATTGTCTTTTCTCATAAATTTCATGATGCACTGCTAAAATAAGAACACCAAGAACACCAACAGGCAGGCCTAGTGAGACAAGCTTTGGTCTTTTGTCACAAATTTCATTTCTCTCACCACTTCATCCAACTACTCATGCTCACAGGATAATTAAGTCTTCCTGCCTACTAACCCTTTGAGTCACAGTGATTTATATCCTCCCACATGCTCTGTCAGGTCGGAATGTGGGAGGCCCTTAGAGTTGGGGATTCAGCCTTTTGGGTAAGGGTAATTAAGTCTTTACGTTCATCTCATCCACTAAATTAGCATCTGTATGATATGTAATAAAGTCTAGTTTCTATGTTATTTTGTTTTTTATTACACAATGTAATATAATCACAATGAATATAATTAATGTGTATCAATTCATCATTTACAATTACAATCTTTTACATGCATGTCAATTTATAATAATAATAATAATAATAATAATAATAATAATAACTAAGAGACTTTTTTTTTTTTTTTTTGGTTTTATTTTGCTAGTAATCACATGGTGCAATACTTAAATTCTAACAATGACCAAAAAAGTTAGGTATGAATATGAGTTTATTGTGACTTGTGACTATTAATTTACAAGTATTTGAGGGTTTCTAGGCCTAATTGAGACATGTCCCATATAATGTAGTATTTGTTCATATCTACATTCTCAACCTATTGAAACATAAAGAGTCAATAGCATCCTAGTACGTATGAAGCATAAAGAGTCAATAACGCCTCACTAGGACGCAATTACATGACTTTTCATTTAAGATAGTCCGTTCGTGCTACTAGACCACAAAATCATTTGAAAGACATCTCATATATAATTTACCTCATCATTAACCACTTTTTAAGTCAAAAATAGTAAATTAAATATTTTCAAATTTAGGGTTGAAACTTTGAAATCATTACCAGAGATATAAGATAGTGGACGGTAGCTTTTTTTTTTTTTGAACAAATATCTTCATTAATTCAAATCATCATTTAATACATCACAAAAAAAAAGGAGGATTCAGCCTCCATTCCCTATGTTCAGTCGAGAATACAGTTTTCCTAGCAAGTCTATGGGCTGCGCTACTCTATTCACAAAATGTTTCATAAAAGCAAAGTTAATATTAAAAAAATTCTTAGTTGGTTGCCTAATATCCTCAAGGATAAGGTCAAAGGAGGTCCAATGCGGGCGGTAGCTTTTTTTTTTTTTTTTTTTTTTTTTTAAGCCGGCGGTAGCTTTTAAAAATGTAAAACACTAAACATGAAGTAAATATATGCAAATATAAAAAATCAATTAGACGCCATGAAATGGTATTTCGTAGGAAACACATATCGAAACATCTTCAGTTATAAAATGATAAATTCTAGTTTTAGCCATGGGCTATTATGGTATTGTGCCATTTACTGTTATTTTAAAAGTTTGTTATATTAAATCATCAATTTTTATTCGTCTTTATGAGGTTAGATGACCAAACATAACCCTTAATGAGTTTTAACCAAGGTCTTGGATGCATGTGCCAAAATTCCTTGGTGCAGGTATTCGTCCAATTCTTATGACCCACATAGGCCTTGCACCGAACCTCCTACAACTTAACACCTCCAAATCCCCCAAAACAAACACCGCCGCTGCTAACTTTTAAGTCTCGAGTAGTGTAGTCCCATTCGTAGTTCTTGAGTTGGCTTGACACATAGGCGATCACTCTACCATTTTTCCTTTTACCACTCAACCCAAACCTTCTTTTGAAGAACCCAATGAAGGCGCCAAATCTTTCGGTTCAGGATGATATGATCAAAACGGTGACGATAGCAAGAGGGGAAGATGTTTAAGGGAAGTATATGCTCGGTTGAAAGGGCTTGGTTCAATAGGTAAAGATTAGAAGGAAGGGTTTAGGTTTCAAATATGAGGATAACGCTAATTAGGGATGGGAGCAACGTTATCAAAGTTGCAACTTAGGGAATAATGTTGCCACCTTGTCTGGAATCATTTGCAATGAGGAATCAGGAATGAGGTTTTTCAAAACCATTTCTCTTATTATGCACCTTGTAACCATAATCTATATTTCTCTTATTAATTGTGTTGGCTATTGCTTTCAAAAAAAAAAAAATTGTGTTGGCTATTCATATTTTGCAGTGTTAAATGTTGAAAAAAAATCTATAGTATATGGTTTTAAGTTTCTGTCATTTTGTATCTATTTTTTTTCAATACCTAGTAGCTTATAGTTTAAATTCCAACATATTATTTTATGATTATAATTGTTTTGCATATTCATATTTAATTGTGTTGCATATTCATATTTTGCAGTGTTATTTCTCAAAAAATTAAGAGTTAATCAACGATTTGGTCCCTCAATTATTAGCGAACTATCGATGTAATCCCTCAATCGCTTATTCATCGACTTGGTCCCCGAAAATAATTATTTTTAATCGATTTAGTCCCTCCAGCCGTCTTCCGTCAACAATTCGGAGGGACTATATAGTTTAAGTTTCTGTCATTTTGTATCAATTTTTTGAAACCTGGAATCTTATACTTTAAGATCTCACACACACACACACACACACACACACACACACACATATATATATATATATATATATATATATATATATATACATGTGTATATATATATATACATGTGTGTATATATATATATATATATATATATATATATATATATATATATATATATATATATATAGTGAAAGGTTCCCGTGCGGTTGAATTCTTCCCGTGCGGTCGGTTGATTAATGTGCGTGATATTTGTACTCAATGTGCGTGAGTGTTGTGCCTAATGTGCCTGAGATTTGTACTTAATGTGCGTAAATGTGTAAAATGCAGCAAAAAATATGGATATCAGCTTCTTCCCCATCCCCAGTAGCCATTGCCCCTCCCTGATGATGATGATGCAGAGGCAAGCTATGGTGATTAAGAATTATGAGAATAATACAACAGAAATCCACACTTAGCTAGTGTGCAAATTTTACTGTGCGTGCGTCATATATATAAACATTCAACTGTACTGAAGGTAGCTGATAATCCAGAATCCATGGACAAATTGAAGGAAGAAGTAACAAGAAGCTTGGGCGTTAATGTGCGTGAGTTTTCTGTTCTGCTTCTTTCTGAGCTCGTAATTCTGAACTACTCACGCACATTAAGCACAAATCTCACGCATATTAAGCACAATACTCAGGCACATTAAGTACAAAACTCACGCATATTAACATCACGCACATTAAATACAAATCTCAGGCACATTAAGCACAACACTCACGCACATTAAGTATAAACCTCACGCACATTATTCCACCGCACAACCGCACGGGAAGCAACAAATGCACCTGATCCCTTCCATATATATATATATATATATATATATATAAACAAACGAGCAGGAACAACCTTCATTCGTTCATGTTCAATTCGTTAACAACCCTACTTGTGAGTATTAATTTACCAGTATTTGAGGGTTTCATGAGTACTAATTTACAAGTATTTGATAGTTTCTAGGCTAATAATTGAGACATATCCCATAATGTAGTATTTGTTCATATCTACTATCTCAACTTATTGAAGCACAAAGAGTCAATACCATCCCCACTAGGACACGAACCCATGACCTCCAATTTGAAAGTTGAGTAACTTCATGCCCCTACACAATAAGATCATTTGAGAGACATATCCCATATATAATTTACCTTATGAACCACTTTTTAAGCCAGAAATAGTAAATTAAATGCTAATTTCAAATTTAGGTTTCAAACTTAAAAATGATCACCGAGATATAATATAGCTGGCGGTAGCAGTTAAAAATGTAAAACACTAAACATGAAGTAAATATATGCAAATATAAAAAATCAATTATAATTTTGAAATACGCCACGAAATGGTTTTTCTTGTATGAAACACATCTCAAAATATTTTCAGTTATAGAATCATAAATTCTAGTTTTAGTCATGGGCTGTTATGGTATTGTGCCATTTACTCTTATTTTTAAACTTTTGTCATATTAAATTAAATCATTAATTTTTATTCATTTGCGATAATTAATTATCTATTTAATTTTTTTTCATTCAACATTTGATAAAAATGGCTAACATGTAATTTAATCATTCAAGTTACTTACCTGAACATGTAATTTTTCTCCCTTCTAATAATCTTTTTTTAATTGAATAATTAAATTAAAATGTAAAATTATTTTATTTTTATTCAAAAGTAATATATATTTTCCCATATAAGTACGTAATTAACATTTTATTATTTATTAGCATTACATTTTTTCAGTATAAATATCACCTTAGATATTAACTCGACCCGTCTCACGAACAAAAATCCAAAAGGCGTTTCACACAGGTTTTTGCCTAAAATAAATTATTAAAGAAAAACAAACCATGAAATCTTGTCGTAAAGAACAAATAGAGCGAAGTATCGTGGAAATTTATGACGATGATCCTATATAAGAACGTAGTCCTTAATTTCTACGAAATTAAAAACAAAGCCTGGTTGGTGTGACAGATGAGAGATATATGTATATATAGCAGATTAGCAACGTATGAATTTCATATTCATTAAACCATTTAAATTAATTGCTCTACCGTCACGGATTAGGCAAGATTACGAAAGCCTGGAATCACGCATGTCTATTGACGCCCTTGCCCACAAAGCATGTTCTTTGATCCTTCTCTAATTCAATATGAACTTGTATGCAGGGCCGGTTTTTTAATTTTGATGGCCCCGTTCTTGTAAATAAATGAGGCCCTAAGTGCAATCTTTAAAACCACCATAAAATATATAAATTTTTTATTTATATATTATTTTTCAATATAAAGAATAAAAATTCAAACAATTTTATTTATTATAAATAAAATTCAAACATAATACAAACTTCGTTGTAACTTTTCAAAATTTTTTTTTTTTCTTTTTTGTTTCTTACGTTTTTCACATCCGAATTCATATTTTCTAATACCGGGAGCCATAATAATGAATTAATGATAATATGCAAATATGTAATTGAAACTAAAATTACCAAACAACAATACACAACAGTGCATCACACAGGTATAGTACTGACTACAGAGCAAACACATTACAACGGTAAAATTAAAGATTTAAAGTAAAAAGGATTGAAACAACCTGGTTGGAAAGCCCTTAATCCTTGAATCTTTGTTGATTTCATAATTTGCTTGGTCTCATAGTTTGCTAGAGTGCTACAGTGGTACGGAATTGGACTGTTTGGACAAAAGTGGGATACTGCGGAATTGCCGAAATGAAAAATCCGAAAGGTGGAAACTGTCCTTACCGTCGTCTCAGACTGCAAAATCATCCATCCCAGACTGCAAAACCGTCCGTCCGGCTGCCCAAAGGGCCAAACGCGCTCGGCGCTCCAAAGGGAAAAAG